AGGATGGTACTCTTGTATAAAAGGATCTTATTGTTGAGGGAGAGGTTGCTGGTTCTTTTGAGGAGAGACATCAGCCTGGGTTCTTGTATTCCTTGCTTTTGAGATGGCGTAATTGATGTGGGTATTCCAGAGCAGCTTCGCATCTAGATAAACTCCCAGATATTTATAGGATTCCACCCAGGGTACATTTTCTTCAAATAATCTGAGTGGAGGGAGTTGACTATGGACATTCCTCTTTCTGGAAAAGAAAACTGTGGCGGCACTTTTTGCGACATTAATTTTGATTTTCCAGGTAATGAGCCAGGACTCCAAGTCTGTTAAATACAGCTGTAGGTGATTGAGAGTGGCATGTAATGTTGAGTGCTGTGAAATGATGGCTGTGTCGTCTGCATAGAGTGCTAGAGATCGACACTTGGTGTTTGTGGTATGTCATTTACATACAAGTTGAAGAGCGTGGCGCTAAGAATTCCTCCCTGAGGCACCCCAGCCAGGATAGGGCGAGGAGAAGAGACAGAATATTTTACTTTGACAGAAAAGGTACGATTAGTGAGGTAAGAGTGCATTATGTGCACAAAATTAGCCGAAATTTCAAGTCGCATGAGCTTGAATAAAATTCCGATATGCCAACATCTGTCGAAAGCCTTTGCTACGTCTAAATAAACAATAGCTGTAGGCTTTCCACTGCGAGATCCTGTATGAATGATTTCAACTACCCTCAGTAGCTGGGTCCTGAGTTGAGTGTTTAGCACGAAAGCCGAATTGCTGAGGAAATAATAATATTTCGGTTTCGGCAGAAATCATTCAGGTATCTAAGCAGTATAGCTTCGTAAATTTTACTAAGTGAAGACAGAAGGCTGATCGGCCTATAATTTTGAGGGACCTTTGGGTCCATTCCAGGTTTTAGAATAGGAATGACTAATGCATTCTTCCAGCTATGGGGATAATATTTTAGCCTTAGCATTGAATTTATCAAAACTGCTAGGTAAAATATGAATTTAACTGGTAATTTTTAATCATGCGATTAGAAATCCTATCCAGGCCAGGTGCTTTTGCAGGGGTGAGATTTTTGATCAAAGCAGAAATCTCAGTCATTGTTGTGGTGATGGGATCCTCAGAATTTGTATCTGAGGAGAGAAATTCTTCAACTTGGTGTTGGACTTCATGCGTGTGCTCTGCACAGGAATCGAACATGAGTCCAGTGTTAGGTGAAAATTGTGTTTGAAGGCTGTCTGCTATGCGTTCAGCCTTTTCAGTGTCTGTTAATGCCATCCGGTCATTGACCGTGCCCATTAGGGGGGGGAATGTCGTGTTTTGGTTTGCGAAGCCGTGCGCTAGCAACCCAGAGGCTATTGTCAGAAGTCTTTAAGGACTTAAGATAGTTTGCGTATTTTTCGTCTGTGTATTTCTTAATGTCAGACTTGATCTCATTCTGGATCCTTCGCAGTTGCACTCGAAAGTTTTCCAAACGTGTATTTTGCCAGTCTCTGCGAAGGCGGTTTTTAATTTTGATTTTATTTTTAATGTGATCAGGTAATTTATAATAATTTTGCCTGAACTTGGGTTTGGAAGCAGCCGTAAATGCGCTTCCTAGGGTTTGGTTGAGCCTGTCAATGGCAAAATCAACCTCCTGATTATCGTGAATTTTGATAGGGGGGAGAATACCATTTTCCAAGACATACCGAAAGTTGTCCCAATTTGTGGAGACTTGCGCCGGTAAATTTTGGTTAATTTTGGATGTTTTAAGGGTGAGGTGAACCGGATAATGGTCAGAGGACAATTCCGGAATCACTTCGATCAAATAGTCTACTGGAATATTTTTAAATAAGGCCAGATCAATAATGGAAGGAGCACCTAACCCCCCAGGAAACTGGTAATGGGTAGGTGTGTTTGGCGCAATAATTTGGATACGGGCGTCCTGAGCCCAAATTTTGAGTTTATCGCCATAGTTGTTGGCAGTGACACAATCCCAACTTCTATGACGGGCATTTAAATCTCCTGCGATAATCAGGTTATTTGCAACACCACTTAATTTTCTGAGATCAGAGATAAATGCGGGTCCCTGTCTCGGAGGCATATAGCAGGACGCTACTGCTATTGGGGGACAATTTGGAATATGAATTTGTACTATAGTCGCTTCTAAGGCCTCCAGTGGTGGCGTGGGTATCCTAGAATGCTTTAGGGAGCGTTTTACATAAATGCTAGTACCGCCACTAGCACGAACAGTGTCACTGATGCATACCTCTCTGTCATTTCGGTAGCAGAAATAATTCGCGATGTTCGCGCTAAGTCCCTCAACCAGATGTGTCTCCTGAACGAGGAAGAGGTCCATGTGATGCTCATTAATAAAATCCCGGACTTCGTGAATCTTCTTCTTGATTCCGTTAGCGTTCCAGTAGGAGATCAGGAGAGAATCTTCACTAGTTGCACAGTTGAACTTGAGGCCTTTAGTTTAAGAGGCCACAGTATGCCTCATAAATATAAAATGCTCTCTCAGGCCCCGTGGAGACATTTCGGAGCCTAGGGAGAGCATTTCTAAAAGCCTCAAGGAGGATCTTATGTTCAATGCCGAATTCCGTGGCGATTTGGAAGACGCTCCGGAGGGTATCTGTGCAGCTTCCATCATCTACGGTCGGGGCTGGAGCCTGGGCCGGTGGAGTTGGCGGGAGGAGTGGACTCTTCTTCGGCGCTTGCTTCGGAGCTTGCTGCGTCGCAGGTGCTTGCTTCGGTTCCTTGGTAGATGATGGTAGTCCGGGATTTTTCCGTCCGGAAACGACATCACTAAAAGAGGGATCCGTGCTGCTAATTGGAGCTTTAACCGGAGCCGGTACAAATTTTGAAATCCCGCTATCCGATCTAATAGGGGGGGTTTTATTTTTATTGGCTGGGTTTCGGGGACAGTGAAACCAGTTTGCGGCGTGCCGCCCAAGGCAGTTCGCGCAGGTGTTGGCTTCCTCCGGGTCTTTGGTGCATTGGTACGCGTAATGCGGGCCGGCGCACCTCAGACACCGGATTGGCAGTGTGCACACTGCGGAACTGTGGAAGAAGCCTTGGCAGCGCCAACACTGGCTCGGCCCCTTCTTCCCGATGTGTTTCTCGAATTTGATTTCGATGCCAAACATTGAGGTCTCTTCAAAAATATCATAAACATTCAGAGACGGATTTAGCTGGACTAAGAATAATGGCATAGGATAGCGGGACCTGTGCCTACGGAGCTGAGTCACGCTGATAACAGAGTATCCTAAAAGTTGTAATTCAGCCTTAATTTTCTCAGCTTTAGCAGAATTAGGTAGGCCGCGAAGCATAGCCTTTACGGGCCGATCCTGTTTCAAATTAAATGACTTATATTCGGCGCCCTGATTATTTAAAATTTGGGCCACCGAACGATAGTCCTCTTCGGACTGCATTTCAATGCGTAAAAATTTGCCTTTCATTCTGCAAATAGCCGTAGGCACAGTTGCTTGGACTAGAGATGTAAGAAACTCAAAATCTTTGGGTTCAACAAAGAAGAAAGGTATTTTCCTTTTAGCTTTGTTAGAGCTTTCAGTTGGGGGGGGAGTACCGTCTCCGGGTTGCTCCACGAGATCGCTGTTTTCTTCCACCCTAACCGCAGGTTGGGTGGGAGGCAATTCCTCCTCTGGTTGTTCTCTCCAAAATGGAGGCAGGCTATTGTTCAGGACCTGTTTTTCTGGGGAAATCGGCGCTCCTCGTGAAACAAGATGGCGAGGAGGCCGCTGAAAACCTTCATCATCTATTTTTCTAATCTTTTTAGTTTTTGGAAATTCCGAATTTTCGCGGGAGTTTAAAGTTAGTTTCTGGATTTTTTTGGTGCTAGATAGTAATTTTTCTGCTTGTAATTTAGCCAGGTTTTAGTATTTGGCTTAGAATTTGGTTTTTTTTAGCCAAATTTTGATTTTATCCAAGGAATCGGGTTTTAGTGAGATTTCATCGTTACTAAGTTCCTTAGCTGATTTAAGTAATTTTTTAATACATTCTTCCTCAGTTGGGGGAATGGCAAAGAGAGGCAGATTCAGGCGTTTAGCAAGAGTGGTAAGATTAAAAAGCGTTACCTTAGATTCTTGTTGCACGCACTTGAGGTCGAAGCTTGCCAGTGGTGTTGATTTCCTCGCTCTGGATAGATTCTGTTCTAGGTCAGTAAAACGAGCCTTGAGTAAGTACAGTTGTTTGATCTGGATCAGGAGGTCATCCGGATTCATTTGATGGTCAAGATTGGTGTCAGAGACAGGGACGTCGGTGTCCGTGGACGTCGAAGTATCCATCTCGGCGCTTGCTTCGGAGGGGTTGCCGGCCATGATTTCCGGCTTCGCATCGCTGCAGGTGGCTTGTGGGGAGCTCATTGTCGCACGTCCTCACTCGACGAGAGACACCCTGCTAATTGAAGACCATGGGCAGTTTACTTGTTTTGCTGGTAGGACGCAGTATGCCGTGGTGTCTTAGATAATACCCTTCATCTATAAGCCTATCTTCTTTCACCTGCTCCATATGATGCAAATTTTCACATTTATTAAGAAATTCTATGTAAAGTGTTTTCAAAGCAAGATCTCGTTCCAAGAGTGTCCACAATTGATCTAGTCTTTTCAATGTGATTTCTTTTGAATTTCCCAACATTGTTTCCGAAGATTCCGGCTTGAGTAGCATTCCAACCATATATCTGCCGTTTAGTTTCCTATAATGTGTTTTTGCGAAGTGCTTATTGCAATAATTTTAATTCATCATTACAAGTTTTGCGTGGTTCTACTTCTATTTCTCAGAAGCTTTGTGAGGGTTTTATTGAGAGTTTGTAAATTTTTAGACAAGAAACAGTGTTTTGGTGTATAACACAAACTATTGTCTGAAATACTACCCTTGAAACAAGGTAGCTTGATTGCAACAACAAGTTGTCTCCCAATTTTGCATTATTATCTCTCAAAATTGAGAAGAATAATTCAACTGGAGTGTAAAAATTTGAAACATTAATTCTTTTGGAAGGTATAAAATTAGCTATGTTAGGCACAATTAATAAGTCAATTTCCCAGTGTGAACCATTACTTTCATTTGATAGAATAGCTGAAACCCTTTTCGTAATGTTTAGCGATGTGTCATTTAATCCACTTATCAGTACGTTTATTTTTTTTCTTTCTTCAAACCCAGCACATCAGCTGCTCTTCTAGTCATAAATGAACTTTCACCAGCTGCGTTTCACACATAAATTATTACAGTATTTATCAAAACACTTATGTTATTTCCATTTGAGAAGAAAGAAATGCGAGCATTTCCTTGCAGATGCGAATCCATTGATTTTGACGCTTTTATGTTTTGTTGATTTGGTTCCTGAATTCTGTCGTCCCCGTGATGTCTAGACCCGTCAGCGGCGATGAATATGCATGCAGCAATGTATGATGATCGGATTTTTTCTTACAAATATAACAAACACTATTTGATTTACACTGAGAAATCCTTACTAATATTATAAATGCAAATGTGAGTTTGTGTGCTTGTTTGTTTGTTACGCTTTCACGCCTTAATTACTTAACCGATCATCATGAAATTTTCAAGAAATATGTTTGATATATTAGAAAAGGTTATAGGGTATAAAATGTCTTCGTATGACTTTAATTAGCTGAGATATTTATTAAAAACTACTTTTCACATTTTTCACTTACTTTGTTGGGTTTTTCTCTATTAAAGGGATTTAGCTATGCGCCAATTTATAGTTTCACAAATATCTATGGAACGGCGGTTAGTTGAATTTCGAGACCGATTCCAAAAATTCGGCAGAATCCATTGAGACCAATCTCATGTTCGTACGACTTTAATCAGCAGAGATATTAATTAAAAGCTCTGAAAACGCTAATTTGAATGCGACTCGATAGCGACATTAGGGATTTTTCTTAGATTTTTCCCGTGTGGGTCCAATAAATTAGTGATAAAAATTAGAACTTTTGATCTAATTATCCAAATTCTCGAAATTTATAAACTTGTATCGCTCTCTGAATAATAGGAGCAATGTTGTAGTAACTGTTTTAGTCGCTTAATTATTTCCAGCTTAATCACACATGAAACTCTGCTTGCTATTGTTAACTATTTGTTGACAGGCTGCGATTCGAAAGCGACGGAGGGGGGGAACTGATATCCAGTCGACTATTGGGTTGGCAAAAAGGTCAAAGTTCACGGATTTACACGTGGAAAATCATTTTAAAATTAATAACTTCTAATTAACTTACAAACTTGAAACTATTATCAACATTTCGAATTTTGTGATATATTTAATGTTTTGTTTTGTATTTTTTTAAAGATCTATTCATTCGTGTTGTATATTTCTGTTACTGTTGCTTTAAAAATTGCATTTTCATTTTACTGTGAGGGATAAAAAATTTTGTTTTATCACTTTAAGGTGCTCAAATGTTCTTTATTTTGAAATTTTACACAGGTTGTACTTTTAAAATTCACGCAGAGTTGAAACTTATTCAAGAACATCAACGCGAGCGAGTGGTCTGTTGCACTGAAATCATAAATGTGTTTGTAGAAAGCGTTGCAGACTGGGGCGGGGGCACAAAAATCTTGTTTCCTTTCCTGCTTGAGTTGACATTATAAATTAGGTTTTTGTCTACATAGGCATAAATAAATGAAATTATTGAGCCACATACTTCATCTCAGATTCATTGAGAGCAGACTGACTGCATTTTGTTCATTATTACAAGTATGGTGTGAATTAATCATTTATAAAAGCATAACTTCATGAAGGTAGCTAAAACCTTTTATTTTTTTTCTTTAATAAACATTGTATATTTATTTATCTTCTATTAACTTGTCATCTTGGTACGTTCTTGAGAAAAATTGAATGTAACTAGTCCTGTTGAAGAAGGTCACAACACATTTGTTTTAAACTTTTAGAACATAAAACACCTTTTTATGAACTCAAGTAACACCACAAAACCCCAACATCAAATTATTTCTGCCATTTTTTGTGAACCTAAGTGTAAGTGAACAAATTAGTAAAAATTTGAAATTTTTACTTTAATTTTTACTTTAGTAGTTTCGCGACAAATTTTTACGTTAGTGTTTTCACCTAGCAGCATACTTTGATTCATGACTTTATAATTCTGATTGATTTCAGTCTGGTCTTTCATTAGTTAACCTGATTGTTCCATGCAAAAATGTAAGTGATTATTTGGCTACATAATGTTTTGCCAAGTGATGTATTTCTCACAACTCAAATAAGCAAAAGTTTCTAGTCTGTTAGTGTTGTATTTATTCAGTGGAGCTGTTATATTTTGCCATTTTATTATATTGTTTAATTTGCAAATTTTAATTAGTTTTTCTTCTTTTCGAATGTATGTGGGGAGGAGAAATGATGCTGTACCATTTTTGTGTATATTAAGGGTACTGAAATTTCCAATCTCAAAGATTTATGTGCAAATTCTTATTTTTACAGAATGCAAATATTTGAAGCATAGTGCTAGAAATTCTGAAAATTTTACGAGTTATAAAAGAAGCTTATTGAGCATCCAGTCTCCAGTATCTAGAAGAAGAGTATCTTCTCCATTTACTCTGAATGAAAGTAAGCATGTATTTTTCTCAATTATTAATCAGTTTAAAATTACTTTGTTTATTTTAAGATTGCTTTTTGTGTTGTAGTTCCCACCATAAAAAGAAATATGGTATGTTCTGAAGAAATACAGTAACTTTTCACAGTAAAGTCTAAAGATTAAGCTTTAAATGGTTCAACGAACCTGATAATCCTGCACCCCATCCACTAATATTTATGTCACAAAATAATACTACATTGCAAAGTCCGAAATCCGGACGTCTATTATCCGGAATGATCTAAAATGTGGACCTCAAACCCACCAACAACGTTTTTCTCATAGGCTCTACACATGCGCATTTGATCCCCCTCTCCGTGCATAATAAAACATCTGTTGAGTCCCGATTCTTAATTTCACTTTGACACTAGATATAATACCTTGTTATTGAAGAAACAATCATTTTAGCATAAATTCGTACGATCAGTAATTTGGCTCCGTTGCTGCGTATGTGCTTGGCACACATCTCAAACTGAAACATTCCACATAGATTCATCATTGATCTGCCGCCAACCTGACGAATCATTATTTATTATACTTTCCTTTCATCAGTGCATGTTTATCAAAACATGACAACTTGAGTAATGACTCTATTTGTAGCGATGCCTAAGCAATTTTTTTTACGTTAGTAATTGAATATTTAAAGGAGTGTGATAACCTTTTATGTTGACGTTACGCTTGCCGATGATTACAGATTTAGGTTAAATGCGCTAGAACATATTGACTAGGAAAAATTTACCAAAAATTTCCTTCCATATGCTAAAAATAGATTTTATTGATGATACTCATAGACCCAAAGATTACATTTAGAGCTATTTGAATTAAGAACAACTGATTTGTTATTCACATAAACCCAGAACCAGCGCCAGGGCTCATATGGCTGCACCGAGTTACAGAATTTAGGACCCACAGAGACAGCATCACACGGTAAAATGTCTAGCACCAGCCCTCAGTAAGGCTTAAGTATATGTGGGAATTTATTTATTCAGAACTCTGATAAGCTTTAAGCATGTGCAAGAAATAGACAAAAATATAATAAATAACTAAACTAAAACAATTCAGGCTTAATTGTCTCAGTGTGCAATAGAAGCAAGATAAAATTTAACGGAACAACTTGTCGTTAGTCGTCAAGCTCATGATGCATAGCCAAATATGTATAGTGAAGGATAGCTAAATTTGATGATAATAGCCACTAATTTGAATGTTTTCGAATATCACAAAACAAAGGTGAAATTTTCCAGTTAATGGATTTTTGTAAAGAAATGTGGAGAAGCGGTAATAAATGAAGATGATATAAAAAGTTTTTCATTCTGAGGACAATGCTTCTCAATCATCAATCAATTAATGAATGGCCAAATCTGTAGTATGGTTCTAGATCCAGAAAATACCGCTACCAATAGTGAAGAAAATGACAGAGAACTTACTGAAAACGAGAAAATTTCGATTGAGAAGTTAGTCGGAATTTTCGAAACAGTTACACGACTTGTAATGTAACTGAACAAGAGATTATGTCTGTCTACAGAATTAAAGAGAAAGTATTACCACAAAAAACAAAGCAACTTAAACAACTTACATTGAAAGAAATGTTTAATAATGTAAACAAATAAATATAAAGCTTTTTTTGTGAATTTTGATACCCTTTAGATCATAAATCACGATTTTGCATTTTTAATTTTATAATTTCTACTTGCAAACTTACTAGATTTAAACTGATTAACTAATATCCGGAAAAATTCCAAATCCGGAATTGCCGAAGTCCCAACGACTCCAGATTTCTGACTTTTACTGTACTAACATTTCATTTGGTAACATTCGAAAGGGCTTGGTGGTTGCTTTGCTTCTACTTGACATCCTCAGTTAGTCTGTGGAGTACTTTGTTGTGTAAAAGTAACGTAAAGTTCTGTAATCCTGTATAGACTGACAAGCAAGTTATAGCTATGTTTGTGAAAGTATGACAATATCCTATGTAGGTTTTGAAACACTTAAGTTTTAACTTAATAAAAGGCACAGTTTGTGCATATAAATCAAACTACTACTTGTGGATGTTTGATTAGAGAAAATTGAATTTGCAAATTAAAGTGGATTCATAGCTGAAGTTTACAGTAACTATGTTGGCTGAAACTTTTAATCGTGTAATTTAATTAATTTATCAAAAAGGCTAATGCCAAAACACTAACTTAGTAAAGCTAGATGAAAGGAAATACAGACTGTGAGTGTTGCTGCTAAAAACTATGCCTAAAATTTTCAAAACCCTCACCTTAAACAGTTGCAACTCATTTGCATCTTTTTTTATCCCCCCCAAACGCTAGGCACTATTTTGTCTTTTTCAACATTATGTTTCAGCCACTGCTAAGCCCAGAAGTGGTGGCCTTTTTAAATTGTGGAGCCACTTAATAGGCAGCCACCTTTACCAGTTACAATCCTGCCTTCTCCGGGATTCAAATCCGGAGAAGTTCCCCTAACCATTATACCATCTGGGCGGCCATTTGCATCCTTCTGAGGGCCAATGAAATGAGAGGTCACAAGGCCAATCTAAATCATAAAATAATTATCTTGCTTTAAGCTTTACATTAATGTATATTTTGCTTTCTTTCTTTAGAATTATTGTTTCCCAAAGTTGATAGAAATGTTTGTAAAAATATAAAATGGAAGCAAAATTTATAAGTATTTTATTCACAAAAACTAATAAGTGATAATGTCATAATGCAAAGTTAGTTGCATCTGCAGGTATCCAAAAAAAAAATGCGTAGTGGCATTTATTATTCAACCAAAATCACTTGGTATGAAGATGGTGCACAGTTAACTATATTTGTGAAATTTGCCGAAAAAGTGAAAAATATAATTTTGAAGAAGTAATAAACATCCATATTCTATGGAATAACTTAAAATATAAGAATAAAAAAAATTAAATCCATGAAGCATTTGAATTTTATTTGGAAAGGCCTTCATGCATTGGCAATAATGACTTTTAAACAGAGATTAAGTATAATCAGGCTATGAATGAATTTATTTATTCATTAAATGTGTGCAAAATTATTTTATACAGTTTTTTCAATCCTCTGTGTATTCCATATTAAGAAGAAAATCATTTTGTGCCTTTTATGCAGTTCAAACGTTAGCTGTAATTTGAACTCAAAAAACTAGTAAACCAGTTCAGTTATCAAAAGTATTCCACAATGCCAGTTTTAACAGGAACATATTAGTCACTGATAGCGAGTTCTAGGGTTATGTCATCTGTATAATCCCTGACAAATATAACCTGCCTCTTAACGATGTATTCGATCCATGAACTGTGGTTTAATGATGTTATTAGATAGCTATTTCAAGACAGATTTCGTTGTTGATGATTTATCATTTCATTACACTCTGTCTAATGGCAAAAGGATTTTCCTGTTTTTGAAAGGGAAATGGATATAATAAGACTATAAATAATAAATACAGTGGGTGATCGATTAACAAACATAATCCGTTCCAAGATTGTTTGCTATCCGAATTGTTCATTAACTGATCACCGATTTACCATGTATGTTAATGGGAATTCGATTCATTCTTTCTGGCGATCCTAAAAATTAAATTTTAAAAAAATGTCATGTACAAGTATAATCTCTTAGTAAGTTTATTTATTACAAATATTAATACATACATATAGTCTTACTTATTAAACAATTTTTTTCCTTTCTTTGGGCATTAAAGAACATGTCCAACCGTACACATCGTACGGTGCTGCCTCACTGCTACATAGTATGAATGATGACTTGTCAGTGCACGCGCACATCCATTTTCAGGATGAATTGAGGATGGGTGTTCCGAGAGCTGAGAGGTTTTCGTTAGAATTAGTTTTTGTTTGTTGTCCGAATATCGTTCATTGTCCGAACACAAAAATCTTTCCTGAAAGTGTTCGTTGTCCGAACTGTTCGTTGACCAATCACCCACTGTACAGCTATCACATTTGCTTTAAAATAACCATCACTTGGTATCTTGGGATAGGATGCTTGTATCAGGTAGTATACTGTAATTTGTATAACCATGGTTGACATAATTGATGTCAGTTCAAAATTCTGATTTTTCGATAAATATCTGACAGGTTTTTCTTTTGAATATTAATAAAATTGTTTAATTACAGAATCATTTATGCTGACTTTTTGAAGATCTAAAAATAGTACTATGGGTAATATCTTTGCAAATTTTATGAGTTTACTTAAGCAGTGTCTTAATTCTTGATGTCTTGAATATCAGACTGAGGTAGAGAATTAAATTTCATTGTGTTTAAATTTTTTTTAACATATCTTTCTGCAGAAGATTCATGGTACCGCTATACATTAAGAAGCTACCTGTTAGTGTCAAAGAATGTAGTTTCAACTAGTTTTTGAATTTGAAATATTTAATGAAGTGTCAGATTTTGTTTAATTATAATCATTCAGCTAGAAATGAAATCACAGAAATCTTTCTTATTTGTGAATGAAATGTTTTGTCTGGCATGATATAAGCATATATGCTTTAAATATATGCAAAATATTATTTGCTGCATTTAATGATTCTTGTGTGTAATGATCCTTTGCATTTTCAGTATCATTTGAAGCAACTTCTAATAGCAGTAGAGGATCCTTCTCTGCATCACCGCTCTTTCCTTCGCGAAATCCGGTATGTTAATTTTATTATTGAGAATTAATAAAACCTGTTTTAGTTATCTTTTAGCTTATACAATCAGTAACAAGCTGGCTCATATACTAGATCTTAGTTTTTCTCCAGATATGTTCCATTATAACTTTTATTTTATAAATAAGACAGTATAGTTCAGACATGAGCAAACTGCGGCTCTCCGACATCATAATTGCGGCTCACGAGCTACTTGCAATCCTCTGAAAACAAATGGAATTTTAAATAGAACTCATGTAGTGCCACATTTCTTTATTAACTACTAATTTAATGTCTAATATTATATATGTAAAAATTTGATAGATTTCAAACTGTCGGCTGCTAGCTTATCGTCAGGGCAACAAATACATAAAATTGTAAATAATTCCATTTCTGGAAATTGCTATTCCTTTTTTCTTACTTTTTGAATAGGTAATGGTCATCGGAATACACTAACATGAAGTTAAATCTGATACACAATGCTAATATATTTATTTAATTATTCTCGATAACATTTTCCTCTCAAGTTAATTTTACTTCAGGCAGTATCTTACATTCCTACCTGATACCATTATTCCCAAACAGTTGTGATTCACCTGCAAGATTTGCTCTTGTTGTAGGGTACTACTTTTATTCAGTTCTTGAATGGGGTGAGTAACTGCTGGAGAAACCTGTTTCGCCTTGCAATCCATACAGAACTCTTTTAATAAGTAGAAGAATTTTACGAGGAATTTATTTTTGAGGTGAACCTTCAGCCTCTTACTTGGTTGTCTCAATTTTCTGCAGAACTCTTTCAAAATTAATTTCCTATCTCCAAGCAAGTCAAGCATTTTTATGCAGTTGCTTCACAGATTTTGCAACTATTCACAATAATATGCTTAATGGACCCTTTTCCCACATGAAACTCTTATCTTTCGTAATTATTTCTTGGTAATCCTAGGAAGAGATCATAATTTATTTAACCAATGGTTGTGCATGCTCAAATATTTCGTGGGAAGAATCACTGGTTTAACAAAGTTTTAAATTTTAGTCAAATTGTTTAATTCCCACTTTTTCAAATATTGTATTGCAGATAGAGATATTTCACCTTAATCATCAAATACGTTGCACGTTGGGATCAACAGAACACAAAGTCTTCTTCTCCAAGCTGTCCAATGATATTTCACCTTAATCATCAAATAACATTGAATCAAGCAATGAGGGATCAACAGAACACAAACGTCTCTCTTCTCCAAAGTTTCATTACACTTCTTTTAATCTGTTGATATTTTATGTCCCTAATTTTCGATCATCATGTACATCTGACACATCCTTCATTAAAGCTTAGTAGCAAAATGAAAATTTGTAGAATGATCCTCTACTTAATCTCTACAAATTTCGGGGAATAATGTGAAAAATTTGCTCCTGTAAACGTTTAGTATGATCTTTTATTTTCTAAAATATCCTCCACTTACAGACTCCATTTCAACTCAATTTGAGATTTATTTTCTGTACACAGGTCAGGTAACCCAATAGAATATTGTGATGTGTAACCATTAGGCTGACAATAATTTATTTTGTTATTTAACATTCTGAGTTATTTTACTTAGAAATTCAAGACGAGATAGATCATTTGATCACCTTTATGGGTCCAACATTTAGAATATGATGAATCCGTACTATTTGGCAAGAGCTTAGGAACTAAACTATTGTGCAGACTTCAGTCACGTTGCAAAACGCCTCCACATCGAACATCTGTGCATGTCCATAGAAATATGAAGAGTTGCGTGTTTGAGGTGTTATATTTCCATTTGTGAAATAATTTCATTATAGTAGTGATAGGTATGTTTCCTTTCTGTAAAATTATTTTTGATTTGCTATGTATTTGAAAAACAGCTACGTTGAAGAGTTTGGCTTGAATTACTAGATTTATTAGCAATAGGTTTGTATGTCCAAAATTATTGTAACGATTCAAGCATTGGTTTCGAGAATTTTCAGTGATGAGCATGAACCTCGTTATCTACGTCCAAAATTATCAGGACAGTTTGAACGATAATTTCAAGAATTTTCACTGATGTGCATGAACTTTGTTATCTATGTAGAAAATTATTGGGACAGTTAGGGAGATAGTTTTGAGAATTTTCAATGATGCGCAGTGTGCTGATTACTAAAAAATTCTGGTAGATTCCTTAGGATGCCACTCTGAAATACTGTATCAGTCACAGCTGTCATGAGAGATACTGATTATTCAAATACCCCTGAAATTGCTGTCGTATTCTTATTTTTTGGTCAATTCTTTTATACTGGGCATCAGTAAAAGTAGTTATTGCAAAGTTTTGGGAAAAAAAATTTTAGCAGTTTCTTAGGTTAGAATCCAAAGATTCGAATGATCTCGTTATGTTGGCCTTATGTTAATTGCGTGGAGAAACAAAATTACTTTTTAAGCAAATGCCTAGGCAAGTTCATAGCTTATTTTTAAATAAGTATTTTTCTGGAATAAAAGTTTATCTGCAGTGCACATTGATGTGTATAATTTAATTTACCTGTTCTAAATGTAACGTTTGTACAGCTCACGAGTTTTTAAAAAAACTCAGTTTTCTTTTAAATAATGATTTGTAATCTACTCAAATAAGATTTTTTATGCAATTGTAGACCTAGTGAGTATGCTTCCAATTCATTTTACTCCTACTAAAGTAAAACAATAATTATAAACAGAAAGGTATAAAGGAAATCATAAGAAAATATTTGCTTTCTCTACCTGAACCGAAAATGCTCAGTTGCTCAGTATAAGCGCTAGTATTTTTCTGGAATAAAAGTTTATCTGCAGTGCACATTGATGTGTATAATTTAATTTACCTGTTCTAAATGTAACGTTTGTACAGCTCACGAGTTTTTAAAAAAACTCAGTTTTCTTTTAAATAATGATTTGTAATCTACTCAAATAAGATTTTTTATGCAATTGTAGACCTAGTGAGTATGCTTCCAATTCATTTTACTCCTAATAAGTAAAACAATAATTATAAACAAAGGTATAAAGGAAATCATAAAAAATATTTTGCTTTCTCTACCTGAACCGAAAATGCTCAGTTGCTCAGTATAAGCGCTAGAATTTTTATTTTCTTGGCATTAACGTTTCTAAACAAAACAGTAGATATAAGATGTATCCATCATCTTGAAGTTTGGCCATGAATGATATACAGGGTTATTCAAAAAGAAAGAGCAGATTTCAAACATTTATTTCTTCCAAACTACCAAAGATAATTGAAACATGATTCTAATGTGGATAGAGAAAATAGATAAAATGGATAGAGAAAAGTTTACAATTATGGTATGCATTCAATAACTGCAGTTTATATGGCTTCATGTGCAGATGATGTTTTAGAACTTGCCATACCGTTGGTTGAGGAATTTTAAGTTCTTTGCTTGCTCGCAATGTGGATTTCTTTGGGCTCCTTTCGTAAAGTGTATGAATACACTCGACATTCTTGTTCTTGTTTGATGTGCGTGGACATGTCCCGTGCTTTTCCCTTTGCAGATGCAACCATCTTCTACGAATTGTCGATGCCACTCGTAATTTGCTTATGACGCGGTGGTTGTTTATTAAATTGGCAGTGAAATGCTAGCTGAACTGCAACAATGGACTCTAGTTTTGCCAAATATGTAGAACACAAAAGACTTCTGCTGTGGTGTCGCCACCATTTCACTACAGACTACCAACCAACAAATAATACCAGAACAAACAACGCCAATGTGGCCATGATTGGAACTTTTACCCGTACTAAATTGTACACTTTTCTCTATCCGTTAACGTTAGAATCATGTTTTTATCTTTTGTAGTTTGGAAAAAATACATGTTTGTAATCTGCTCTTTCTTTTTGAATAACCTTGTAGTTCAAAGACTCAAGTTTTATGTGGGAAATTTAATTATCTGTCATTCTTTTTAGCTGTCAGTTTCTATAATACATTAACCTCTGAAAAGTCTGATACATAGAATGAATCCAATAAAAAGCAAATAATAAAAAATTCACTATTAAAAATAGGCTTGATTGAAACACTCCAGTGAAAGTCTCTTGTGATCCATGTCAGAACCACAGAGGAATCACTCCAAAGGTACACTTGGCACTTTGTCAATTTAAGAGCGTCAATGATTTGACGATACAGCCGAGTAACTGTAAGTGCTTCAAGCAACTCTAATCTGGGAATAGTTACTTCTTTGGCAGACACTACTCTTGATTTACATAATACCAATTGTATCAAAAGTTTTGGAAGCATTGCTATTAAATTCGGCCCCTTTTCGAGGCAAGCATTCAAGGAATTCCCATTTTCATACTTCAGTGATGCATCCAATACAGGTTGAACTTTCGTAGTCAGACTGGAATCTTTGATTACTATTTGATGAGACAAATAGTGACCAGTATCACTATTATTCGGAGCTATTTAAATTATACCTTCCTCATGCCAGCCTTTAATAATAACATCATATTCTTTGAAAAATCCCATTTTCTGCAGTCTTCGTGTATTGCTGAAAAGTATTTTTTCTGCTTTATCTCTATTATCTCCAGGAATCCGATAACTATCCTTCCAAGGCAAGCAGACTTCATACTTATTGCCCTCGATTACTTTAAGGTTCTCTAGGGAAAATTTGATCATTTCAGTGTCTAAATTCTCCTTAGTCTTCACTTCTGGATCTTTTATGCCAATTGTCTATAAATTCCATAGTTCTGTGAGATACAAATAACAAAGTCCGACGGTATCAAGCAAGGTATTATGACTTTGCACCAGGCCTTGTAGGGACCAACCCAATTTTGTTTCAATGGCAATAAGGTTTGTGTCAAGTGGAATGATATTATTCGTCATTAGCTGTCCGGAATAATCAGCTCCTATTAATAATCCGGTATCTGGTGTATTTCTACCAGAATTACTGATTTTGATTTTATGTTCTCGAAGTGAGGAATATATATGTTTGAGTTTCACTCTAGGAATGTATCCACAAATTTTGTCTTTATCTAAAACCGATAATTCGTATT